ACTACAGCGACTCCGAGGTTAAAAATGGGAAGTGATGTGGTAGAGCGCGTTGACAACTTCACTTATTCGGGAAGTACCATCAGCCAGTGCCAGCGGGTTGATCTCTGACGAAATCTCAGCACGGATACAGGGGGCTCGTTTCGCATTTGCCAGTTTACGCCATCTCTGGCTTAGTAGACGTGATATCCAACTGGCTGTCGACCAAAGGGCGTGTGTACTGCTCAACAGTCCGCTCCGTCCTCCTTCATGGCTGTGAGATCTGGCCATTGAGAGTGGAGGACATGAAAAGGCTAGCTAGCTAGCTAGCTGTCTTTGATCATAGGTGCCTGCGTTCTATTTCCCATGTGAAGTGGCTAATAAGGTGAGCAATATTGAGGTTAGGCGTCGAGTTCTAGGTAAACAGGGGAAATCAATAGACGAAGTCGTGAAGTTACAAAGACTGAGATGGTTAGGACATGTGTTACGTATGCCAAGCCATCGCCTCCCTCGATGAGCAATGTTAGCGGATATAGGGTCAGGCTGGAAAAAAGCTAGCGGCGGTCAAACAAATCTTGGCACGAGTCAATGAAATCTACAACAGTTAGTCTAAGCCACGTAGGAAGGTGTAGACTTCTTGGTTGGGGTCTTCGGGACGGTAAAAACCAATGGTTGGAAACAATTTGTGACATGGCTCCAAATCGTTCTCAGTGGGACAGATGCATCCACTCCTTGTGATTTATGATTTCCAATGAAACTGTTTTGTTCTTCGTTATTACTCTTCCTTTATCTCACACCTCTGCTTACTGTCACTATTATACTTTTCTTGTACTTTCTTCTCTTGCAATGTGTGCTACATGGAGTGTGGCAACTTGAGCTGTCGCACATTTGTGCAAAGTTCTATGTCGAAAACAGAAAGACAGACAGTCAGTAACTAGTGCAATATGTCTAGTCCTATCCTTGGTGCAGACTGAATAAATAAGTCAAGTTTGCGATGTGACCAACATGCCATGTAGCTCATCCGAATAGCTTAATGGTAACGTATTTGACTGCAGCACTAGGTGACGTGGATTCGGATCTCATAAGTGATACGAGTACATCCAAGGCTGTAGATACACCCTCCTGACGAGAGCCCAAAAACACGAAACCTAGGTCCAAGGCTACCTGTCCACTGCCTCCAACCATCTAATATCAACAATTATTGGTTCGTTCATTTACAGAGTCTCTTGTTACTAATTCTTTCTGACTATCTGCTTTTCAGCCTGGAGCGAAAGCAGCTGTTGATAAAAGTATGCATCTGGTTGCAAATGCTTTCCGCGACGCGCCGAATTTCCGACTCATATAGAAGGCGTAAATGACATGATATTAGTGTTAACAATCAGAATTTTTACATTTCTACTGGGTGCAGAAGACTTCCGTACTAGTTGAAAAACGACGAAGATCTCTCTTACTCTCCAGGACCCAGGTATGCGTCACACATGTCCTAACCACCTCAATCGATGTAACTTCACAGTCTCGTCTATTGATTTCCCTTCCTTACCTAGCACTCAACAGAGGCCTAACCTCCGTATTGCTCATCTTATTATGCCACTTCACACAGGGGAGATAGAACTCAGGCACCTATGATCAAAGACAGCTAACTAGCTAGCTATGAAGGAGGACAGGAGAGGACTAATGAGCAGTACATACGCCCTTTGGTCGACAGCCAGTTGGATATCACGTCTACTAAGCCAGAGATGGCGTAAACTGGCATATGCGGGACGAGCCTTCTGTATTCGCCATGCTGAGATTTTGTCAGTGATCAACCCACTGACATTGGTTGATGTAACTTCCCGAATAAGTGAAGTTGTCAACGTGCTCTACCACTTCACTCCCTATTTCTCAGTTAGGAGTCAATATAATCCAGACTAGTCCTGTAGCATCATCATCTTACATTAGACAACACGAGCGAATCGCATGCCATTCATTCGAAAATAGCTGCTTGTCGAAGTGCTCAGAATACTCTGTATTACGTCAGCGTCCTCACCCAGGTGGTAGGACAATATCATCTGCATATTCTAAGTCGACGAGATTATTCCCTGATGGTAACGAGTCAATCCTTGAGTCACTGAAGCCACTAAGGGTTAATTTTATCAGTACATCTATGATGAAATTAAACAGAAATGAGGACAGTGGTTATCCCTGAAGGACACCGCTAGTCGTCACCGCTTGAGATGACAACTCGCCGTAAGCCCTCACCTGACTGACTGCATAAGTTCGAGTAGAGTGAGTGGCTTGATCAGTGCAATGTATTTTCTCGTCATTCGCTTCACAGCCAAGCATCCCCAGAGTACCTAAAGGTCAAGAGAATCGAATTCCGCCTTTAGGTCAAGAAATATAACGATTGTTGGACGTCGGTAAGTGTGCCTATGTTGCAGAATCTGTCGAAGCGTGAGGATATGATCGGTACACCCTCTTCCTGGTCTAAAGCCAGCCTGTCTGTCGCACGATCCAGTCCACCACAATTAGGAATATCATCGGTGATAGTAGGCAGGCTGCCTTGTCTTACTCCTGTATTCACCTCGAAAGCTCTTCTGAGTGTTCCGTTGCGGATCACCTGGCACGTGGAATTGTCACATAGCCAGCTGTTGAATGAGATTGATAAAGACTTGGGCACTTCACTCTGTATTGTGGAGAGCGTTTGTAAATCACTTCACAATCAACGATGTTGAAGGTTTTTTCAGAGTTGATGAATTTGATATATAGGTCCGACCGTTATCCTGTGTTGTGTTGGATGATCCTGTGTAGAGTTGCAGTTTGCTCATCAGATGATTTTCATTTCCTGTATTGAGCTCCTTCAGCTATGTCTGTCGGATTTCTGCATCGGGTACACATTTCATTCTTTCCAGTATCACACGTTTCAGGATTTTACTTGGCGTGGACAAGAGAATTATTCCACACCAGTTCTTCTGCAGTCCCAATTCGCTCTTGTTTGTCAGTTTGACTAGGTAGCCCTTCTTTCAATCAGTAGGCACCTTTCCTTCTTTCCAAACATTTCGCAGTAATGGAGTGAGAACATCTGCCATAATGTCTGGGACCGTCTACAGTGCTTCGGGGGTGGGGATGCCTTCTGGTCCTGTTGCCTTCCCGGATTTCAGTAGCTTGATCGCACTTAAGATTTTGTCTTTCGTTGGAGGAGTGGTATCCACTAGCAGGCAGTCCTGTGTGTGTGCCGTCAGTGATGGTGTGTTTCTGGGCGAGTTGCCGGTGGTGGTCGATCCAAGAGTCCTCTAAGGTGATAAGCCCATTGTTTGATTTGTTTCTCCTCATTGGTAATTAGGTCTCCTTGAACATCTTTTATTGGTTTCATCATCTGGGATGAGCTTTTCCGGGATAAAGACTTGGTTATCTGATATAGTTTCCTGGTGTCTCTTTTGCCCTCGGCCTGTTCTGCTTCAGTTGCTGGTGTGTCGAGAACTGTTGTTTCTCTTTTCTAACACTCTTCTTCACTTCCTTATCCAGTGCAGTTTACATTGAACTCAGCTTTTCCTTCTGTTGTCCACCTTTGCATTGGGTCATCTTCTCTTTCACCATCCCCCTCTCCTCTCTTCCATTACCTTCCAGGTAAATGTCCATCGTCTTGTCTCATCTCTTCCTTCTTCCTAGAACAGTTGTACACGTTTCCTTGAAAATCACATTCAGACAGTTGATTCTAAAGTTCTCCCACACAAGTTTCCTCAGTGATGCCACGTACTGTGTCCGATTTTGCTCTGATCAGATTTGCAGTGAAGGCATTCGATGTAGTTTTGTCCTTCAGTTTATGAATGTTGGACTTCAATTACAGACGCCTGTCCCAATTTGTTCTGAAGGATTTCATCTTCACCTTGAAGGTTCCTTGAACTAAATGTTGGTCTGAACCCCCATCCGCTCCCCCTCTCGATTTTATGTCCAGCAGGTAGCTGCGTCTCCACTTCCTTGAGATTGAGAATAAATCCTTCTGGCTTTTATTGTGTCCGTCAGGAGAAATCGGTGGTGCTTTGTGTATATCCTTGTGTTTGTACACGCTCTCTCCGATCACCAAATCGTTGAAAGTGCGGAAGTCTGCTAATAATTCTCCGTTCTCATTCATTCCTCCAAGCCCCTCTAGACCCTTGGTGAGTTCTCTTCCTGTATTATCTGCCTTCAGTTTGTCTTGCATTCGTATCGCGCATTAGGACTTTGATTTAACCATTTGGGTTGTTGTCCACTACTGTTTGTGGTTGTCTGTAAAAATCTTCCTTCTTCTCTTGTTCCGCGTTGTTTGTAGCACCGTGCGTAGCGTTGCATGATAATTGTGTCCTTCCTTCCTTCCTTTTGAGTTGAATTTTGCTGTCTTGATTCTGGATGAAATTGGTTCTCATTGCATTAGGGGTTTGGCTGCCACTGGTGATATCGTGATGGCCACTCACTCCTTCAGTGTGCTTGTGGTTGTCGTATGGGTGACCAGTCCGGAGTAGATTATTGACTCTCCAGTTGAAAGTTTTGACAGTCAACACTCATTTCATCTGCTTTCGCAGATACCCAGTACTTCTAAGCCATATCTTCGCGTCTCTTTGGTTACCTGGGAAGCCTTCCCAGTCTTATACATTGCACGGACATACCACGTACCCATTCTTACTCTTGCTTTCATGTGTGGAAGACACATGGACTGGCTGACTGTCTCCCTGAAGGCGGGCTTTCACCTTCACCCTGTGTCAATTCGCCTCTCTGATTCGAGCGAACTATAAAATCCTTTACCTTGCTAAACCAGCTATAAAACTGGTAAAGGGGGAAGGTTGGGCATGAGGCTAGCAACCCCATCCTGTAAAATTAAACACTGCTACGGAAACTTCAAGCCACTAGCTTAAGGCGCTATGTTCCACTGGGCACGTGAAGGAAATAAAGAAAAAAATCGTTATTTGGAGTGTGAGTTTCGCCATATTTAAAACTGAGATTCGTGAGTTATCCTGAAGCTTATCTTATTCTGAAATATACGCAGTTTTATTACAGTTACGGAAATGCAGTAAATGCGGTAAACTATTGCATTTCAAAGAATCGCTTAAGGGTCGCCATTAGTATCACTGTGTTTATTAAAACTTCTCATGAATAGTCAGTTATATCCACATGGATAGGGGACTATGAAAATGAGACAAGAAGCAAAGGTAATCAGCCCTGGGGATCGGACCTTTATACTGAGATTACCAGTGGGCATGCACCACTCATTTATTATTAATTAGAGAGAAGTAATTGTTATTTGGTGGCTGGTAGTGTTGGATTGTGTTGATAACTTCGATGGGAATTTTATATTATACGTGCGAAGAACACAGTGTCAGTTTTGGTAAATTTACTGTATATAGGAATTTATTTTTTCCTGTTGGAAAAACAATAAATTAGTCAGAGAAGAGATGTCAATTTTGAGTTAGTTCCTTACTAGCGAAGAGATTTGCATTAAAGTTATACCAATCATTTCATATTAGTCTGGTATTCATACTACTTGCAAAGTCTGAGTAGTTCAATATTGTGCAGTCAAATATTCTATTGCATTTAATGTATGCGATAACACTTGAAAAATCGGGGATTCTATGTAATGTTGTTTAAAATTCTGTTGACTTTGGTAGTGGGCAATTCATTACTGCTTATAATATTAGGAAGTTTATCATATAGTTTGCTGCTTCAATATGTCATGAAAATAGTGTTAACTGGTTGTTCAAATGTCCAGAATGCGAAACGTGTACATCATTCTCCGTTCGTAGTTCAAAGTGAAGTGATCTTTGAGAACGCTCCATTGATGAAATATCTTGTGATTTCGAACATGATTGACTATCCTTGGAGGTTTTCTTATGGTCATATTCGCCAGAATTGATATTTATCCTCTCATTGACGTGATACTTGAGATTATGATTTGAAGGTGTGAAATGGAATAGGTGAGGTTGTGAATCTGAGTCGATTGAGATAACTGGTAGAATTGTTACATATGCCAATCGAGTGGTGAGATCGATCAGTATGATATTCCATCGTAGAACGGTGTGTAAACTGCCCGAATGGAGTGCTCAGTGAATGTATAATGTCTTGTTTGTAATTCTTATTGGAAGAAAATACAAATAAAGAGAACAGGATCTAAGACTTCTAATAAATACGGTTTTTTGTCTTGCTGAAGTAGTGTGTGTGACATTCACCTCAAAACTCTGATGAAAGCCTTTTCTTTTTCTCCTCAACAGTGCAACTGTAGAAAAACAACGCAGTTTCCACATACTGGGTTCACTTAGACTAGCTGCCTGCAACTTATTTGTTACACTGTCGTCGTTGCCGAGTGGTCGACAGTCTTTATTAGATCTGTGTGGATCTGGTCCAATCTTAACTGGATTAGCTAGTTGTTTGTCAGCATCAGTCTCTTCATCTCAAGGGAATACTTCTCCATCTCCTGTATATGCATCAAGTTTGGCAGATGCAGCACGTGGATTAATTGCTCGTGTATCCTCTGGAGGTGGTAATAATTCAGTCCATACAGTAAATAATAATAATAATAATGTTGACCCGTTGAAATGTAATTCTGCTTCATCTGCAATGTCTGTTGTTTGTGCTGCTAAAGCTGCACAGATATTAGAATATTTAACTGAGAGTTCAAGATTTTTGGTAAGTGTCAATTGCGCACATAGACCTTTTTGATACTTGTAATAACTGTGTATACTAAAAACATTATTTGAAGTTTACGTGAATACTTACTGTAGCTCTTCATCTATCTATTCCTACTTCATTGTTACTATTGATAGAGACATTCGAAATAGTTCACTACAATGCAGAAATATTGACTCCTTATCATCTTTGAAAGTACAGACATCTTCAGTTATTCTTGTGTTTGGTTATTCTTTCTCTCTCTCTCTCTCTCCTGTCTAACATAGTGATCTTTTGTTTGTATTCTATTCCTGAGTGTTTCGTCGAAGTGTAACAGTTTGAAATGATGCAATTTTACAAAAAGAGTGTTAGGCTGATTTGTCTTTTTGACTCTGAGGGAAAGTGAGATGGCATAAATTCAGGATATGTAATTGTGTAAGCAATTTGAAGTCATTAGAATAATGCCCTACATCAGAAACCAGCTTATTTCTCTTAACTGATGAGCAAGCTTATCTTAATCTCAACGGTGGACAACTCAAAATGTTCGTTTCCATTTCACCTGATTTCTTTTATTTCAGTAACTGCTAGATAAATCTTTAAATCGAGGTATAGTCACATCGCTGCTTATTGTAATATATTTTCTCACTCCTATTGATATTTGTGTCACTGTATGGTGCATTTGTTTTTATAATACTTTATTTTGGTGTACATATTTGTTTACGTCGACTGCAGTTATCTGTTATGCGAAACGGTATTATTTAAGGAATAAGCTGTGGTATGCGTCTGTTCTAATATGCGGAATTGTGGCTCTTCGTTCGAAATTTTACTTCTGTCCTCTTTGTGATATGTTTAAACATCACTGTACCTATGAACATTTAGGGGATTTTTGAGTGACGCCACGTACCTATCCCTTAAATGAAACCCAAATTATAAACTGTGTGTTGGGCTTACTATGCTGGCATGGTGTTGTTTATGCGAGGAGGATATTAGTATTTGTTTGTAAGCTTGTGGCTTAGAAGAGAAGTAAATTTTGATATATAGGAGAATCTCAGTGTTATACTCGAAACTTGTTAGATTAGATGCAATCATTTGATGGATTTTAATTGATTTCAAATAAGCAAACACCTTGCAGTTGTAGGCCATGAGATCGGCTTGGAGTGAAGGAAAGTGTCTGCTAATTAACTTTTTCGGCGCTAAATACTAAGTGAATTTATAATTCTAATGCATCTATCTGATTGAAATGATTTTCTGACCATGTGATTGAACAGAAAAGGGTCTTTTAGACCTATCCTGTAACCATGATGAAATTCATTCGTGCATTGTTACAATGTTGTCATTTTATGGCATGTCACATTTTTCTAAGATAATTATAATTTCGATAAAATCAAATGACAATAAGTATAATGAGTAATAATACGTAACGCATTTCTCACGTATTTTAAATGACAGACATTTATAAGCACGTCATGCGTGTATATGTCTCTGTCAGGATACGACATTCAGAAGTGAAAACGTGAACTGATATAAAGGCAGAGTATTTCGGCCTTCTTATAATGAATACACAACTGAATACAATTGATATAAAGGGGTCTTGTTCTTTAAAGTTTCGATTATTCAGTGCTTTAGTTATGATGGTCTCTCTATACTCTCTATACTTCAGTGAATCTCTATCCCATCGGAATGATGTTGCACAGTTATATATGGCGAATTTTTCCTTGGACACTTTTATCCCTGCATTTAGTTTCTTCTATTGGTTTTATTTTTACCAACCAGCATCACTCTGGAACAGCAGTTATTCAATAATTTTATTTTCCGAATAAGTAGTCCTTATTTGCAATATATTGACTTGTTTCGGAAGAACTTCCTAGGAATTCCTAACTAAAAGTTTCTTGTCAATACGAATTTCGACATATGGTTTCCAAAAAACGATAAACAATTATAATAGGTAGGATAAAATGAGGTAGTAATTTGTTTCAGTGTCCCTACGTCTGCCCAAATAGTTTTAAATCATATTTTTTAATCCTCACCAACAAACAGACCTTATGTAAATTGAATACGTGTGACTAGGATGTCTGTTAATATCTCACCTACTGATATCTGATAAATGCTGAAAATTTATAAAGGTGACATTCTCAGAATTTTTATAGTGCAGCCTATCAAGTGTTTCACGAATTTCACTGTAGTACATTCTAAGCCACTTAAATAAATGCATTTGAAATGAGAATATAGCTCAGTGCCTCTAACAAAAGCAGCTGAGGCTGGTATTAGTTAGATCCAACAAGATCATAGAAAGAAAGCAGCTGATGGACAGTCTGTTTAGAGACAAAAAAGAGCACGAATGTTCATTGCATAAACATGAGTTTAGTAGAAAGTTGCAATATCCCATCAAAATTTAACATGATTTGTCTGCATATAATAGTTCATGAATATTCATTAATGTTTCCTTTTTTTCAAATGGCTGAATATTTCTGCTTACGGAAGTATTAGAGTATGGTGCTGAACTTTATTTTATCTGTATTTATCCCTGAAAAAATCTGAAGCCTAAAAATCTGCATACACGATGATTATCATTAGCGTACTCTGCTTTTCTAAAAGATTTTCAGTTCCATATAAGGATACTTAGACACCACACCATAAGACATTGTTTTAATTTCAGGATTTCATCATGAGCTGACATCGGTTAGAAAACCATTGGAAAACCTGGGAGTACTGGACAGCTGTTTCGTCCTAGTCTGGGACTCTTCATCAGTACGCACCCACCGCCACGGTTCGAACTCAGGACCTTCTGGTCACAAGGTGAGCTCGTATACCATTAAGCCACTGGGACTAGTTCCAATGGTCCTTGAATTCTAAATTCTGGGTGCAGCGGGTCGGGTGTGAGGACAAATACTCGCCGAAAATATTGGCTAGCGGTCGCGCTATGTCGTGAATTGGCAGAAGTTAGAATTGAAGGACCATTGGAACGGTTCCCAGTGGCTTAATGTTATACGAGCTCGCCTTGTAACCAGAAGGTCCTGAGTTCGAACCGTGGCAGTGGGTGCGTACTGATGAAGAGTCCCAGACTAGGACGAAACAGCTGTCCAGTACTCCCAGGTTTTCCAATGGTTCTCTAACTAATGTCAGCTCATGATGAAATCCTGAAACCAATCAAATCCCTACAAACCAACACTTGAATACATTGTTTTAATGTTTGCATAGCTTTATTAATTAGTCTATCTCTTAAATAGAGCAACCATTTGTCACATATTAGCCATGAGGCTGTGATTGATTTAATTGTCCCTAGTCCCATCAATTAAAGACTGTCGACCAAGTCTGAAATGGGCTAATTTAAGTAAATGACATAACACTTGGTTTTAGGGAGTGTGATTCAATAGGCACCGATCCCTAGTAATATGTTTCTTATCTCCTTCCACTCAGTCACTTTTGACGCATATGTCTGCATTTCAAAAGAACCTTATGTTTTTGAAGAGCTTAGAATTTGTATTGCTTCGTTCCAAATTAAAAGGTCATCTGTAACCAACTCAGAACTGCAACTAACCCTACATAGAACAGGACAACATTTGTTAGCTTTACACAACTCTCTCTCTCTTTTGTAGCTCCATTATAGTTTTGCTTATCTGTTTTTCACTTTGAATTCACTATGCTGAGAATTCCATACTATATCAAGTGTACTGTTTAGAGCAAAAATATTATTTTTATTATACTTTCTTTCTAACAGTTCATAGCATTTATTAGTTGTTCATCATAGAAACTTTTTTTTCAGTTGTGCATAATTTATAATGCAAACAAAACGTTAGCTAAATTAAATATTTATTAAATCTATTGATTTTATGTTATTTCATTGAATTGTTATTGTTGTAAATAACTAATACAAGGGTCATTTGTATTACGTCCACTGGTTCAGATAAATAGGTTACTAGTATTATGACTGTTATTATCTGATATATTGTTCATGTAGTTAGTTACAGTCACTGCATAGTATTGCAGAACTTAACACATATAAAATCAATTTAGAATACCTTTCTACTGGTGTTCGTCTACCAATTCAAAATAATCGGTGATCACATACCCTGACACCGTTAACTTATTCAAATTTTGCTCAGGGCATTTTGAAGATCCTGTCTTCCTCTCTGTGTGTTCTCAGTCAACCACACTCTTTGTTAAAGTAGTAAGTTGATTTCTTAGTGGCATTAGTTGGTTATGGTGTCTATCTAGTTTAGTTAGAATGAACAAAATCTATCGTGGAATGTATTACTGGAAGAAATTGATTTCAACACCTGTAGAGCGATAATGGTAATCATAATAAAGATGAAATAATGAAAGAAAATACAACTACTAGTATCAGTGTATAAAATGTTGTGAGACACACATTTCAGTAACTTCTATACTAGAAATCTAAAGACTTAGATTTCCAGTAGTAGTAATGTAAAAATAGAATTTGGCTACTGCAGTAGAATATTAATAGTAATTTGAGTGAGTTTTTTCGATATAACATAAAGTGATACAATAATAATAGCTGGATATCATGGACATTACAGTTTATTTACTCATAATAGTGCCAATGTATTCTTACGAATTCCTAACCTACTTTAGGTGGCTGTATTCCATCCTTAAGTCAAATTTACAGCTTGATGTGATTATTTCACCATAGTTTCTCTTTTGGAAAGCAAAACTATTTAGATCACAATATATGTGACCTACTTGATACCATAAGCGGTAATCAAGAAAGCAAGCACAATGTTGCATAATGCTCTATACAACTAATTTGTTGAAATGATTAATCGTATACCATTTGCATCAAGTGTTAGTGGTTGCTGGCCAAACCACCTCAACTCTTTGACTGTATATTAATTCGACTGCTTACTTTTTCTTCTAAACCATTAACCCTCCTGGGATCAATTATACTGCACACAGTTGGATTCTTATGTTCATATAATCTCACTACCTTTACAAATAATAGTTTTCAGGATTTGGTTTATTTTAAGTTTGACTGACACAGACTGATATCAGTTAGAGAACCG